TGAAAAAATAGGGTGGTTTGCATTAATATTAGACATAACTGGTTGAAAACTGTACCACCTCAGTCAACCGTGACCATGGGACCTGTAAAGGGCCCGATACGTCGGTTTGTTTGAAAAAACAAATATACGCGATTTAAATCCGGAAAAATAGTTTCATTTCTTATTTTATTTATTTTTTTTATGTAAAGAAAGAGGCAAACGAGACGACGAGCCACTTGATTTATTTCTGAATAATTGAAATGATTGTATTTCCTTAATATCTTTTGGTAATTTGTTGTATATTTGTGCTCCTTCGTACATTATGTTTTTGTTTCCACAATTCGTCCGCGATATTTGCAAATATATATCATTAGCACGCCTGGTTATGCGCTTTTGAATATGTAGTTTTTTCGTAAAATTTATTTGCGAGTGAACATTTTTATTTAAATTTTTTTAATCAATATGCACGTGTTATATTTCTACATTTGGGAAATAGTCATTAATTTTGTTTTCTGGTATAAGTTTATGGCTGGGGTCAGATAATTTTATTTTTATTATTTTATCTTGTATTGTTTGTAGTGTTTTCCAAGTGTATTTTGGAGGCAGAACCCAAAACTTCGATAAGCTGGTCAAGGTTGACCAATGAATTATATATTATAAAACAACGTACACTTAATGGAAAACATCTAGTTACGCCACGGAGAGAACCCATGAAAGATAATTTTTTTTCCGAATCTTTCCGGCTTGATGTTCAATGGCTATCCAATACAAGACCTAAATATTTTTCAGAGTTCACTCTACTTATAGCTTCGTTGTTAATAATTAAAGTTGGAACATTTGAGATTTTTTGTTTTTAGCTGTGAATATCACGTACATAAAAAACAGGCAATCGTCTCCCGACAAATTTTGTACATCGAAAGAAATGCAGAAACAGTCACTTATGTTCCCTTTCCCGGAACTGCAATTAGGTACATACTACCTACGGAAAATTTCATTTTAAAAAGTCGTGCATTTCAGATAAATAAAATTAAAATTTTAAAATATTTATCGACGCACGCTTGGCCACATTCTCTCCTGATGTTAAGCGACGACATGACCGCGAGGATGGTACGCGTTTGCCTAAAATATGCCTGTTCCTGTAGCCTTGAATAGCCCCAAATGGTACTTTCGGGAAATACTTATGCCGCCCGTCAGAGTATTTCATTCCTTTGCCGTACGCATCAGAAAGGAGGAAGCAAAGCGCTTAGTGCGAATGGGCGGTATATCATCGACATAAGGATGGAGTGTTCCGGACCTTCTAGTCGACTGAAGGCGGAACGGTGGGAGTGGAACTAAATTGCATATTCCTGTGCACACTCCCCGAAATGTATCCGATAGAAAACCGAGAAGCAGGCTACTTTTGAGCGATAGTTGAGGTTTTGCAGTTTCGAATCCACAAGAGAGTTGTTAATAAGTCGCTTTGCTTTTCGCTCCACCGAGTCCAAGGCAGCTAACTGGCAATGGGCAGAGCCGTCCCAACGGTGGCAGCAGTAGTCCTTACACGATCGAACTAGTGCTTTGTACGGATTTAAAAGCTGTTCAGGTGTAAAGTACCGCCTGACCTTGTAAAGTATGCCTGTTTTTTGGCAGCAGTTTTTGCCAAACACTCGATGTAGCGCCCGAATTTGAGGCTGGATGATAAGTCCAGACCGAGACTCGGCGTGTTCACATATTATGTGCCTTTTAATCGATCCACAGATCGGATCAAATGTTCTTGAGTGGATTTCATAAAAATCTTTAAAAAAAAGTGTGTTTGTAATAAATAAAACACCTATTTGATATACTATTATATAAGTACCATAATAACATAACAATTATTTTTTACTTTTAAGCTTTCCTTAAATGCCAATTCTTGACGTCCATGCTTTTTAAAAATAAAAGATTTATCGATCTTTCCGGCCTCGGTCTGTTACGACTTTCATTTAGACTGATATGCCAATTTAAAAAGAAGTTCAGTTGGCACAGAAATAGCGACAATCGCCAAATATCGTAGACTTATTGTATGTACTTGGTACTTGGTGTAACGGGCTGGTGTCCGCATGTACTTCCATGTTCAATATAAAATAGAAATAGCCTTACGATTCAGTAGGGGTTCAGAAAGATACTCTTTTATTGAAATTATGAATACGGTCTGGACAATTCGATTCGCTTTAATGTTGAATCGATTTGCTTGAAATACCATTGAAATGAATCGATACAAAAAAATCACTATATCGCGTACGCTTGAATCGATCTTCATAAAAATGTTTAGTAGCAGTAGAGCTCTCTGCGAAAGAGTTCGTCCAGGGAAGAACTGCCACCTCACCTATTTCTGCCGCCAAGCAGTAATGAGAGCATTACTACGTTCCGGTTTTCAAGTACGTAAATCAGGCCTAAATTCACACCTTCTAATTATTTATTTTGTGCTTGTAATTGTAACGTTTTCTTTGAAGCGTATATTCGATCTCAACCTAAATAATATACAAAAGGTCAAAACTTAATGTGAACACTGAAAACGCAGTTGATTTTCCTGTTCCCACCGTGTCATGCACCAGATAATACAGGATATTAAATTGAATAAAGTAGTTCATACAGTCTACACTATTTTTAATATAGTCTTAAAATATATAAGTAATACGCATACAAATCCTAATTCCGTCGATTCCGGCAGTGCAAAAAGAGTACCCGTTATAATACATTGTGTATTAAAGACGGCAAATAGGAAATCACTAACGAGAGTTTGTTAGAAGTCCGAAGTCGAAGGGTTTGATAACTCGAGTTTTGTATGTTTTTTACTGTCCGTGATACATACAATGTTTTCCCTCATGTTTGCAAGGAAATAAATAAAATGTTTATTTCTTTTGTGAATAAATATGGTTCACAACACACACACACGCACACATACACACACAACAGTTATGGATTTTGCAAATGGCGGGTTTCTAGTTTTTTTTATCTACAGATAGCCTTACAGTGTCTATAGACATTTCTAAAGCATTTGACAGGGTCTAGCAAGCAAGCTTCCCTCTTATGCGCTTCCTTCTTGTGTGAACGTTCGATTCGAGTGGTCTAGGCTACTCTTCCCAGTTCCTCAGGGTTCCATACTGTCCGCAACTCTCTTTCTGCTGCATGTCAATGATATGTTAATTCCAGGTGCCTTTGGGTATGCTGATGACAGCACAGTGTGATAGGTACATGCTAGAGTCAGTGGAGAAGAAATCCAGTCTTGTCGAGAGTCCATGGTTTAGACGTATGAATTTGACACTTAAGGCAGTCTCTGATTGGGGCGATGTCAATCTTGTCAAATTTAATGATACTATATATTCCATTTTACAGTCTGTTTGAATACGCTGTACATGTGTGTGAGGGAGATAAGTAATTTTCAACACAACATTTTCATAACGATACAAAACAATGCGCCTCTTAATAATACTCAGCCAATGAACATCCCACAGCGATTCAGAGTAACATTTCGAACGCACTGAAATACTCGGTGTAACTGGCGACTCGACTGCGTCGCCGCTCGCTTTCCACAAGACGAAGTCGATGAAAATGCGCCATTATTTTTGCAGTGTTATGAACA